TTCAACACATTTCTAATCATGATAGTTTTAATAAGTCATTACTAATAACTGATTTATTTTATCTTCAACATGATGACAGTAAATAATATTTGACTAGATTTTTTCAGGGCACTTCTATACAGCTTAAAGTGACATTTAAAGGCTTAACTAGGTAAATCAGGTTAACTAGTCAGGTTTAAGTAATTAGGCAAGTTAGGCAAACAATGGTTTGTTCTGTAGATTATCGAAAAAATATATAGCTTAGAGGGGCTAATAATATTGTCCTTAAAATGGGTTTTAAAAAAATCAAAAACTGCTTTTATTCTAGCCGAAATAAAACAAATAAGACTTTCTCCAGAAGAAAAAATATTATCAGACATACTGTGAAAATGTCCTTGCTCTGTTAAACATCATTTGGGAAATATTTAAAAAAGAAAAAACTTAAAATTTGTTTTTCTGTTTTAAATATTTAAAGGACATTTAATAGTATGTCTGGTAATCATTTTTCTTCTGGAGAAAGTCTTATTTTTTTATTTCAGCTAAAATAAAAGCAGCTTTTAATTTTTTTAAAACCATTTTAAGGTCAAGATTATTAGCCCCTTTAAGCTATATTTTGTTTACAATAACTTGCCTAATTACCCTAACCTGCCTAGTTAACCTAACTAACCTATTTAATCCTTTAAAGGTTACAAAGGCTTTAAAGGTTGTAGCCAATCTGGCAACCTGCTCTTGCGTGTATAAAACCAGGAGTGCAATACTCAGTTTAACCACTGGGTGTCCAATTTATATGCTGCACCTTTAACTATGTTTATAAACTGTCCAACCAATACACAACTGGGTTTCACTAAAAAGGAGTATACCATATTTAATTCTCCAATGTTGCTGAAAATGTATGAGTGATTTCTATAATGAGTTACAGTGAGATAAATGTGCTGGTAAATAAATCTGCTGATAGTTGTCTATTTGAGATCTGACCTCATAAAGGCTGATCTTGTAGATCTGCTTGATGGACTGGTGTATGCGCTCATTCAGATGATGGAGCAGGAGTGTTTTGGCCAGGCAGGTGTCAGAGATGGAGTTGTACAGTATCTCCAGTCGGTTGTAAGTCAAGTAGGTCGAAATATTCAGGCCGTTATCGATGAGGAGACGCACAAACTGGGGTTTGTTGTTCTCCAAGGCGTCAGTCATGGAATCCTTCAGCTCCTCATACTGTTGGAAGTAACATGCTATTAACACCTGACAACTATTTCACAAAATAGAACAACCTTATTCATTAACAGTGCATAATGCAGATCTAATTATGATTTCTTTTGTGAGTGGTCCTATGCTCATGCTTATGCCTAGTTCAGACTGCGTGATTTTAGCCCCGATTTTGGCTCACCAACAGGTTTTGAGAAATCGCCGACAAATGCCTGAAATCACAGGCAAATCGGTGCTCGTGCACGTGAGTGACAATCACACAGTATGAACTTTTAAAGACGCGATCTGAGAGAATTGCCGATGAGTCGCCGATGCCTGTGAGATATTTGTCATGCTAAATATCTGGAGCTGTAGGCGATTCAAATCATGCCGTGTGAATTGAGTTTTGACTGAAAATAACACCAGCGATCGCCTACAGCCAATGAGAGAGCAGCTTTTACTTGTGTGTGTGCGTGTGTGTGTGCCTGCTGCAGGCCAGCGGGAGGCAGGGGGAGAAGTTAAAAGCGCTCTTTTTCGGTTTATTTGGACCCACGAAATGGAGGAAAAACTAGTGGAGGTTTGACAGGACTCAGGAGCAACCGTGTCTGTTTGACGTTTTATACAGAAAGAAATTAGTTTATTATCAACGTTGAGGAGAAATGGCTAATTCCCTTTAAACCCAGGTGAGCAAACATGTACACGTTCTACCCCATTAAAAGCTTCTTTCTCATTATGTAGTTAATGACAATAGATATACTACATGTTTTTGGCTGTGAGACGTCGTTTGGACGAAGTTGTCGGTGATTCTTCCTATAGTAAAGTCATGCTATGTGAAAGTCCCTGTCGCCGATCCATCTTGCAGTGTAAACAAAGCAGCGACGAAACGCAGGCCCAGATAGTCATGCAGTGTGAAAACATCTGTAACACGACTACTTTGAAAATCATGCAGTCTGAACTCGGCATTGACTGTATTATGTTTGAAAATTGTAGAAATACAAGTTAGTTAGGTATGCTTAATAGTAGCTTCAGCATGTTTGACCTCTTTAAGTTAAACGTGCGATAGAGTGCCTTGACTCAATATTAAGGGTGTCAAAATAAATTGTTTCTTCAGTGCACCGCGATGCAGACGCGGACTATTCGGTATCGGTTCAGTAATAATCATAACCGCTTATTACGTACAGACGTCACTTATCTCATATGTGCTATGTCGCCGTAGCTTACCATGGCGAGGGTTGCTATGTCACCGTAGCTTACTATGGCGAAGGAGGCAAGTTCGAGTATTTTCAATGCTCCAACTACCTAAAAACGCAGAAACTGTGCACAATTTTACTGCGTGTGTTTGCTGGACAGTCTTTCACTGACACTTACAGCAGATGCTTTCACTGCGATTTAGAGAATGAAAGTACCCCATCACTCTCTTTCTCTCTCTCTCTCTCTCTCAGGGTGCTTTCACACCTACACTTTTGTTTCGGAACCTGTCTCGTTTGCCCAGTTAGAGTGGTTCTTTTGGCATATGTGAAACCACCAATCGCACTCGGATCCGCGCGAAAACAATCGCTCCAAGATCACTTGAATGAGGTGGTCTCGGCTTGATTAAGTGAAGTTTATGTATAAACTAATTTCGAGAGGATCACGTGCTTATGATTGCTAGCGGCTGGATCCGCATTATCCAATTCACTATGCTCCAATCAGATGACTCCTAAACTACTATAAATACCCTGGGTTTCATTCCACTGCTATCTTCGTTTTGAAGAGTCCCCCCTTCCACCCCTACTCCTCTTTTATAGATGGCTGACACGGTGGCCCAGTGCGTAGCACTTTTGCCTCACAGCAAGAATGTCTCTGGTTCCAGGCTTTACCAAACCAGCAGACATTTCTGTGCGGAGTTTGCACTTTCTCCCCGTGGTCAGGTGGGTTTCTCGGGGTTCCCTGGTTTCCTCCCACCGTCCAAAAACATGCAAATTAAGTTAATTGACTAATCCAAATCGGCACCATAGACATGCTTCTAGAATGTAGTTATCTTCAAGAGCAATCCCTTACTGTTCATTGGTTACTACAGCAGGGGAGTTCTCGAGATCTACCTGAGCTCAAACTCCCCTCCCGCCTTGCAACGGGAGGGAACCCTGGGCTCGAGGATCTCATGAGCTCAGGGCTCTCTCCCGGGACAGCAAGCCAATCAAGCTTTATAAACAATCATCAGCTAAGTGTGAACTCTTGAAAACTAACTCTGGAGCGGATTGACTGTAGTGAGTAAGCAATACGATCCGAGCCCGGTTATATCACAGTGTTTTATGGATATGTAATAGGCATACGGCTAAATGAGGAGAGAACTATGACTAGGGCGGAAGGTCATTCAACAGACATCCCAAGTCTCCCGGAAGTTTACTCGCACCTTACTAATATGTTTAAACAAACATAGCTGGCCAAAAGCAACTCAAAGCATTGAAGATATACATTTAAATATTTTATTTATTTAACTACAAACTCAGAATTGTCCACTAGTTTAAGAGCCAGTTGATGTCTCTCTACCTTCCAGTCGATGTGTCCATTGAAGAGTTCACTCTTGGCGATGTCCACTCTGTTCCAGGTTACGGCCAGTCTCAACTCATCAGCATAGGAGTTAGTATTCTCTGATACATTTCGCTTACTCGCTAAAACACAAACACACAACACAAAAGAAAAATGCAATGAAACATTTAAAAAATGTTATGCACACTAAACAACTAGAGCTGAAGCGAGAGTGAAAGCAGCGAGCAGCATTTTTAGCTGCTGAAAATTTGCTCCAACACAAAAACACACACTTTCACACAGTCAGTGTCATGCACACACACACTTTCACAGTCAGACAGGCATATGCAGAGACAACACACACTTACACACTTGGGCAGCATTTACACAGCAGATCTTGATGGTCAATTCCGATTTTGTGACTGTATCTGATTTTTTTGATGACCTGCTTACATCATCTTTTAAAAGTGACTCGTATCCGATCGTCTGCATTTACACAGCACACAGCAAAGGCACAATGACCAGGAAAAAAAAAAGAGCGGGCGCTGACTAACAGCTGATAATTACAGAGTGCTCTTTTCTCTATTCCTGTATGTAATCTGTTTGCAGCTTTTGACAAGCTGTTTTACTCTAATTTGTGACTGGAAGGTTCTCATTTGTCCATCTTCTTTTGATAAATAGGCTTTTTTAAACCTTTAGGCATTTTAATGTAATGTCCATGGTGTGATTTATGCACATGATGTATGCACTAGTTATATTAATTTATATTAGTTATTTGGCGGACATTGTGCTCTCTCGCTCTCATTAAAATGCTTTAATACCTGTGCTATAAGACATTATAAAAGCTGTATAAGTCCTTGTGTATGAGATTTAAGGTTTGGGACTCGGCTGAAGTCTGTTCTGAAATGAATGTGTCAGACTTGACGTCATTCGCTACAGTTTTAATGACGCGCGAATCGCTGCTTACACTGCAGACACGACGGCACAGATCCGATTCATATCGGATGAATTTCCACATATGAACAAGGCCTGAATCTGATTTGAGTAAATCGGAATCTATTTGATTTGTTCCTGCTTACGCGTACATGGGCCATATCCGATCTGTGCCACATTTTGAAGAGAAAAAAAAACGGAATTGAGTGACTTGAACAGTGCAGTGTAAATGTGGCCTTACAAATGAATTTGTTTACTTTCATTCCACCAGGTGGCACTGATCTGCCACTGTTTAATACATTTTAATAAATAACTGCGTGATCTAATTAATACATGCTGTACATACTTAAAACACAACTGTATGTACAATTATACATAGTGTGTATAGAGAGAGAGAGAAAGAGAATTAGAGAGAGAGAGAGAGAGAGAGAGAGAGAGCTGAAGTCAGAATTATTAGCCCCCTTTGATTTTATTTTTATTTTTTTCATTTTTAAATATTTTCTAAATGATGTTTAACAGAGCAAGGACATTTTCCCAGTATGATTTCTTCTGGAGAAAGTTTAATTTAAAAGTTAAAAATCTGCTCTCCGGTAAACAAAAATTGGGGGCAAAATAAACAGGGGGGCTAATAATTCTGACTTCAACTGAACTGTAAATATATATATACAGTTGAAGTCAGAATTATTAGCCCCCCTGAATTTTTAGACAGCTTGTTTGTTTTTTCCCCAATTTCTGTTTAACTGAGAGAAGATTTTTTCAACACATTTCTAAACATAATAGTTTTAATAACTCATCTCTAATAACTGATTTATTTTATCTTTGTCATGATGACAGTAAATAATATTTGACAAGATATTTTTCAAGACACTTCTATACAGCTTAAAGAGACATTTAAAGTATTAACTAGGTTAATTAGGTTAACTAGGCAGGTTAGGGTAATTAGTTATTTTATAACGATGGTTTGTTCTGTAGACTATCGAGAAAAAACATAGCTTAAAGGGGCTAATAATTTTGTCCCTAAAATTGTGATAAAAAAATTAAAAACTGCTTTTATTCTTGCCGAAATAAAACAAATAAGACTTTCTCCAGAAGAAAAAATATTATCAGACATACTGTGAAAATTTCCTTGCTCTGTTAAACATAATTTGGAAGATATTCAAAAAAGATGAAGATATTTGTATGTGTGTCTATATATATATATATATATATATATATATATATATATATATAAACACACAATATAACCATTTTAAACTAATCTGTGAAGTGAAGGAATATGTGAAGTTTACCTTGAACAAGCACTTTAAGCATCACAATGTCAAAATCTTCTGCTCCTTCCTGTTCTGCATTATAAATGGAGATGATGTCTTTGTTTTGGTAGATGCTTAAAACCTTTTAATAAGCAGCCAAGCAAGAAGCAAAAAAACACTGCTTAAAAGTGTATTTATACTCCAATATTATATGACTGTGAAGTGTGCAACATGTACCTTGTCAACAAGTTTGTCAGTTTTTTTCTCAGCAGGAAAATATTTCTTGACTTTTGCCGCCAGTTGTTCTCGGAGCTCCATGATGGGGCTGGCGTCCTCCTTCTCTGATGCTCCAGGCATCGCCGCAGACTGAACATTCTCCACAATGTCGCTCACTAGATTGGCAAGACCACCCGAACCAGCCAGAACCAAACACGGTGTTGAATTCTTCAAAGACATCTCTAAAAACTGAGGTGAAGAAACATCTTCAGTCAGAGTGAAGAAAGACAGAGATTCTGCAGGTTCAATCAAGTCAAATGTAATTTTTTTTTTTATTTAAAGTAATAGTTCACCCAAAACTGAGAATTCTGTCATGTATTTACTCTTCATTTGTTTCAAACCTGTTTGAGTTTCTTTCTTTGCTTAAACACAAAAGATGATATGTAATTTGCAGAAAGACCATAGACTTACATTATATTTGTTTTTCTATGGAAGTCAATGGTTTCAGGTTTTAAGCATGCTTCAAAATATCCTCTTTTGTGTTCAACAGAATAAAGATACTAAAAGATCTGGAACCACTTGAGGGTCAGTAAACAGTGACTTAGACTTTTTAAAAGTCTGCAGAAACCCTGCAATGAGGATGTTTTGTGTCTAATAAAAACTGTGATCTTCTCACCTCCAGCATGGACGTGTCTCCAGCTATCAGCATGTTCAGAACAGGAATGTCAATGCTTGCATTGCCTGTGTATGAGAAGGTGTATTAGAGCAATCACATATCAGTCATTACAGTCCCTGTTTACACAAGGTGTTTAGAGTCATTTTTGTCAATGCAATTACAAGTGGACTCTAGGGGTGTAACGATACATTATAATATCCAGATGCTGCAATACAAATATGTAAAAATGCACCATCAACTGATGTAAATTATATAAGATAGGATAGGGTAGGACGGACGGATGGATGGATGGATGGATGGATGGATGGATGGGTGGGTGGGTAGGTAGATAGATAGATAGATAGATAGATAGATAGATAGATAGATAGATAGATAGATAGATAGATAGATAGATAGATAGATAGATAGATAGATAGATAGATAGATAGATAGATAGATAGATAGATAGATAGATAGATAGATAGATAGATAGATAGATAGATAGATAGATAGATAGATAGATGGATAGATAGATAGATATTTGTAGTGTCTATTTAGGCTAAGTGCAAATAGCGCCCATCGTTGGAATAAGCTAGTTGAGTGATTTCCGCCCATCACCGTTTAATTGACAGAGACAACATAACTAAACAGAGCGGCAAA